CACCTGCAGCGCCTTCAGCTGTGCCTGCTTAAGGGTTTGACCAAACATCTCGCCATCCTGTAAGAATGGGCGTGGCAAATATCGGCAGCGCCAGCGTTCGCGCCACATCCCGCTGTGCCAACCGACAGCATCCAACTTCATGGCCCATCCTGCCGATGAGCCACTTGCGCAGACGACGGATGAGGAGTTACGGGGCTTCGTCGACAATGCGACCCCGGCCCTTGCGCCGCGGCACCTGCCTGCATGCTCTTGATGTTGTCAGCCATCACTGGGCCGAGCGCCGCCAGGGCCTGGCCCATGCCTTGCACTGATTAGAATGCAGGCATGGGAGGCGTATGGCGGTGAGGTAATCTATATCTACCAGCTGATGCATCCCCATCAGCTTCCCCATGACTTTGTGACGTCGCCCCACACGCACCATATGATGCTGTTGACTTGCAGGTCAAGGCGCCGAGCGCGCTGCCTAGGGCCTGCAGCTGCACCACGGGCTCGCCGGAGATCTGAGATGCCATGCTAAGGCTTCCCACGGTCTTGCTGCTGGATCCCCGGGATTGAGCGCTGCAGCGATCTGGCGTCGTCCGCGTCCCTTCGTATCTGGCAGCTGGACATGACAATGTGTCAGCCTGAATGATACATCTGTTACGAATAAAACCTTCAAGTTCACCGCTGGAAGCAGGAACGGGCTGGCGTGTTCAGGGTGACTCAAGTGATGATGTTTGACCTTGGTGACTGCGGTGACACAGCCAAGGCCACCGAAGTTCCTCATACATCGTTGATCGATTCATTAGCAGCGACTTTCATCATTGCCCGATTGCTTGATACCGCACCACGACAGTATGCTTTGCAGGCACGCATTCAAGGCGGCCCACGCTGCCCCGCAGCGTGGGTGTAGCCGCCATAGAACAATGCCTTCTTCCTCCGTGCAGCGCAGGCAGCAGATCAGCAGAGCGCCATGGGAGCTACTCGCGCGTCCCTGCATCACGCGAGCATTTGAAGGCAACGCTGCCAAATCGCTTCAGGAGGCCGCTGCATTGGACGAGCTTATTGACGTGATGCTCTCGGCAAAGTCGCAGCAGGAGGTGGGTCGTGGCCGCCGCATCGCCGCTGTGCAGCTGCTGCAGCACTGCGCACGCAACCTGCCGCGGGCCCTGCCCAGCTCATTGCAAGTGCAGCCCAGCCATACAGCTGCACCCGGCGCGTGACTATCATCCTGCCCCGCCAATTGGGCTCCGGCCGCTTTTTTTTTCGCGGCCTGCAACTGCCGCTTGCCTGCGAAGTGGCCGCTGCCTGGGAGCCCTTGCAACGGTCGCATGCCGCCCACCGCCTCCCAGGTGGCGGGTCTGGTGGCTCAGAACATCATGGCAATCGACACCAAGTTCTGGATGCGCGTCGCCACCCGCAACGACAGCGCCACGTCCCAGGCCGGTGAGCCGGCCGCGAGGCCCCGCGGCAGCAGCGGCACGCAGGCGGCGGCGCGCAACTCAGGCCCTGCGCGCTGCTAGCCGCCCTGCCGGTCGCTCATGGTGGCAAATTTGCAGGGCCCGCTCCGCCAACGTGCCTGCGCATCGCACACGCGGCCCACCTCCGGTCAAGCAGCAGCCCTGCCGCCCCCCAAAACTTCATATCCGCTTGTGCGCCGCCCGCTCCCCTACCCTCCTTTCAAACGACACCAGACAAGGACCGCCTGCGGGCCCTGGCGGACACCGTGATGGTGCTGGTGGACACGATGGTGAAGCAGAGCGAGCAGAAGCTGTCGGACAGCGCGGCCACGCTGCAGGCCATCCTGGCGGCGGCGGCGGACGAGAATGGGGAGTGGTACCTGCCACTGGCGCCGCAGCAGGTGGGCCTGTGAAGATGTGTGTGTGTGTGTGTGTGTGTGGTTGTATGTGGATGTCAGTGTGCGCAAGTGTGTGTAAGTGTGTGTGGGCGCATGCGAGTGTGTGTGTTTTGTGTGTGTATGGTTGTGTGTGTGAGAGAGAGAGAGAGAGAGAGAGAGTGTGTGTGTGTGTCTGTGTGTGTGTGTGTGTGTGTGTGTGTGTGTGTGCGCGTGCGAGCGCAAGCACAATTGCGTTTGCGTAGGGGGTGTGCGAGCGCGTGGATAGGTTGTTGGGTCGCATCAATAGCGGTGAGCAGCAGGGTGCAAGGCTGCGTTTGGCAAAAGAGGCAGGGCCTCAGGGAGCGAGGCCGCGCTGAGCCACGTCTGCCGATGATCGGCAAGGCAGAGCAGGGAAGTGGCGCCGGGTACCGCCCTTGTCGCGGCGCGGGCCTCGGCCCTGCTCCTCAGCATCATGCGGTCTCGATGAGATCAGGGCGCACGGGGAAAATCTTCGCGACACCCCATCAAACCGTGCCACGGCCCCTGGGGTCATCCCCAATATTAGCTGATTCCCAACCGCCCACACGCAATCGCATGCGCCATCGCATACCCCCTGCGCCCGCGCCCGCAGGTCAAGGCGATCCGGGACGCGATGGACCGCAGCGCCGAGGCGCTCGACGAGGCCCTCCTGTCCAACGCGTTCGCCTACATCAAAAAGGCCAGCGACGACCGCTTCGACTCGCTGGTGCAGCTGCTGCAGAAGATCCTGCAGCTCTACGCGGCGCGGTCGCTGCGGGGGCCCGAGAAGGAGGGCGTGGAGGGGTTCTTGAACGACCTGGTATATGCGGAGGAGAAGGACTGGGAGCCGCTGCTGCGGGAGCGGGTCGCCAAGGGGGAGGTGGGGGAGGAGGGCTTCATGGAGGCGCTGCAGCGGAAGATGGAGGCGACGGTGCTGGGGCTGCAGAGCGGCAGCTACGCGCAGCGGGTGCAGGCGGAGTATTTGAAGGAGGTCGAGGCGCGCGCCAAGGCGGTGTTCCGGGAAAGCGCCTGAGGCGTTCCGGGCTGGCGGTGTCCCGGGAGGGCGCCTAGGGGTCATGCACGAGTCGCCTGGGGAGCACAGAGGCCCTCAGGCAACATGGAGGGGGCACCTCGCGCGCCGGCCGGCTTCAAGCGCACGTGGTTCGTCGGACGGCCCTCTGGCGCGTTGGTTTTTGGATTACACAAGCGCCACGCGGCGTGCGCGCTGTGGCGCATGCCGCAGATTTTGACCGATTCGTGGACTTTTTGTCAAGGTTTTGACTCACCCACTACTGAAGGGTTGACTGGGAAGGCCCCTGTGGTTGCAGCCGCAACATGTGCTGTTCAATCGCCTTTGCATTATTTGGGCGGCCTTCACCATCTCATCCTTTCCCCTTGATTCACAGTAACCGCAAATGGTGCCTTGGGAGCATCAAGGGAGGCCAGGATTGACCTGGCGTGGACAAGGGGTCCCCCAGCGGCACGATGCACGGAGGTGGGGGCAATGGCACTACAGCAACAACCTATTCCGTGGCAATAGTGCAGCTTCGAGCTCACTGGTTGCAGAAGCGAGCAGTAGGGGTCGTGTCGAGCAGGCCAAACTCGCTGCCAGCGCAGAACCATGCAGTGGGAGCCAGGCGGACGCATCGACCGCCGCGCGACCAGGCCCGCGTCCCACGTGAAGGGCGTCCATACAGCCTCATGAGAAAGATCTCTCGTGTCTCTTCATCTTTGAACACACCCAGACAGCTCGACACACAGATCGCCGGGATGCTCACCCGTAGGGCAGCCACCGCGCTGCGTACGAGGCCGCAGCTCAAAGTTTGTGCGGTTGGATCCCCGGGCGTGTCAATGAGCAGGAGCCGGGCCCCGCTGCAGACGGCGACCCCTACTCGCTTTACAGGACTGCCCGCGCAACCACTGCCGGGCCGCAGCATCCCAATTGGTGCGTGGTTATGTATTGAAATCTATTGACTAGAGCGAGCAGCCGTTGCAGCCACAGCCGTCTGCAGTATCCACGCCACATCACACCAACGCACACCGTACACCGCATGGCGGCGGGGCCGATGGCTGACCGTGCGCGCGTGCCTCCACTGCCTCCCTTACCCTGCAGGCGTCCCTAACACCCCCATCCCGACCAGCATGGGCGCGCGTCGCAAGGTGACCCTCCCAGCTCGGCGCGCCCTGCTGCGCTGCACCCGCCGCCCTCCGCGCCCCCCTGCGACCCACCGCTCCGCTGGGCCTCTTGACCCGCCCCTCCCCCTCCCCTCCCCTCGCCCTGCGGCCCCGCCCCTAGACCGTCGCCTTCAGCTTCCTCGGTGTCGGCGCCCCCGAGGCGATCCTGGTCGCGGTCGTGGCGCTGGTGGTGTTTGGCCCCAAGGGGCTGGCGGACGCAGCCAAGTCTGTGGGGCAGGCGCTGCGCGCGTTCCAGCCGACGATCAGGGAGGTGGTGGAGGTGTCCCAGGACCTGAAGGGCACATTGGAGAAGGTGCGGGCGCGCTTTGGGGTGCCCGCACCCTGAACGTACGTAGCATGCATGCGCAAGCAAGCACATGCGAGCTTGCATGCGGTCGCGTATGGAAGCGCCTTGCGAGCCTGCGAGGCTACCACACGCGGCTGGGGCGCCGGAGCCTGCAGCTGGGGCAGTGGTGGCATGCGTGCATTGGGGCGCCCAGCTTCCAGCTTCGAGCGGCGCTCTGCAGGCGCCGCTTTGGCAACATCCGCGCGTCGCCTCCAAAACCAGGGAGCCCGCACGACCATGCGTCCCGGGCAACAACCAAGTGCCAAGTTGTCTCCGTTCAAAGTGCACACAGCATTCCTCAAATATGATTTATTATCAACATGATTTTTATTTTCCAGGAGCTGGGGCTGGATGAGATTCGGGAGGCGGCGCGGGCCCCACCGGTCCCGCGGCCGCGCCAGGTCACCGGCAGTGAAGGTGCGCGCCACGCCGCGCCGCGGGGCTCTGAGGGCGGGCCGGGGGTCGCGCTGGCACGAGAGGCTGCCGGCAGTGACGTGCTGCATATTGCTAGGTGGCGGCAGAGGGCGTGACCGGTTGCGGGAAAGGGTTGGTCACGGCGTGAACGCAGCGGCGTGAGAGCAGCGAGCACCTGTCAGCAGGGGACCGCACCCCCGCGTGCATCTTACCCGGCTGCCTGCCTGGATCCCCACTTGCGTCGCCGTCCATTCCCGACCCGTCCTGCTGATGAAATCGCCTGCCGCAGATGAGGATCCGGACATCGAGGCTAAGCGCGCCGCCAGCGCGCAGGCCGCGTGGAGC